GGAGAAAAAGCAGGGCTAGATAGAGTGATGGGTCAGTGGTGGAAAGCACTTACCACTCTCTCAGAGACCCCAAGTTTGTTTCTCATTACTCACATGGTAGCTCACAACCACCTGTAACACCATTCCCAGGGGCTCTGGGGCTCTTTCCCGGCCTCTGAAGATATTTGCACGTATGTGATGCACATAAACTCATATAGACACATAAGAATATATAAGAATTAAAGAGATAGGCTTTATCTTTCAGAACAGTTTTAGGTCACATGCTAATCTAGCCACAATTGTCTTCATAAAATATAAAAATGAATAAAAAACTTGTTCCTCTGAATGCACGGGCCATGCTCTACTAGTGTAGTGGCTGCATGTTGGCTGCGTGGCGGCTGTGTGGAGGCTGTGTGGTGGCTTGTGACTCACTTCCAAGGGTTTTCTTACAAGTTGGGAAGGATTTATTCTGAAAAGTCAGTTCCCTTCCTTTCACACCGGCCCTGAGTCTACAGTACTAGAAAGTTTGACCTGGCCCCGACTCAGCCAACTAAAGCCCCCTGTGCTCATGGTTCCCGTGTGTACCGCAGCTTCCTAACACAAGGGGATAGGTCTGTATGGTGGAGCATGACCACGTGCAGACAGACATGGTGCTGGCTACATCCCGATCAGAAGGCAACAGGAAGTGGCAGTGGCGCTTAAGCCAAAGAGTCCTTGTAAGGCTGCCCAGCGACACTTCGACAAGATCACACCTACCTCAGCAGGGCCGTACCTCCCAACACTGCCTCTCCCTGTGAGCTATGAGGGCCAGTTAGATCCACTCTTCCACAACACCCTTTACTGTGGGCTGAATCGCGCTCTCTGAAAACTCATAGGCTGCAACCTTAGCCCACAGAACCTCAGAATATGATTGTGTTTGGATAGAGCCTTTTAAAAAAGTGATTAGGTTACCCCCTCTGAGGAGTGGATGGGGAGTGCTGTGGGAGGTAGGTGGAGGACTTGGGAGGAGGGGAGGGAGTGGGAACGGGGATTGGTATGTATAATGAAGAAAGGTAGTTTGTTTTCTTTTAAAATAATAAAAGAAATTCAATAAAAACGTGATTAGGTTAGAAATAGTTGATGAAGATAGATACAACCTGAAGGTTAGACACACAGCCAGACACCTATCACATGCATGCAGGAAGGATAGATAGAAGTTGATCATTTGAAAGCCAAGGAGAAACCCCCAGAAGAAATTAACCCTGCCAGAACTATGACCTTGGATTTCCAGATTCTAGAATTGTGAAGGAACAATATTGTGTGGTTCCCACTGCCTTGTTCTTAGAGTTCACAAGACTCTACAGTGAATGCACAGTGGACAGATTCTACCATGGACCCACGAGTACACACTTATGGGGCACCCATTTTGCAGAGCTGTGGGAACACTTGTCTTTTGGAAAAGTCACTGTCTTATCTATAAAAACCTTATGAAGCCATGATTCTTCCCTTCCCAAAACACCTCGGCAGTGTAACTTCTACGTGGGCCATGGAATGATCTTTCTCCATTCCTCCACACTGTGAGGCCTTCGAGCGATTACATTCACTCTTTGTTCTAACAGTCAAATTTGAATAAAGACAATGGAAACTACCTGCTAACAGACCACACAGAAATATCTATAGAAGACAGGCACAGAGAAGGAGGGTAGCATGTTCCACCTTTGCTAACAAACAAATCTGGGCATCCCCAAGGCTGGTTATCACCAAAGAGATTGGATGAGGAGGATGGGGCAATCCAGGGTTCCATGAGGGTTGGCAGCTTTATCTAAGAGTCTGGGGACCTGTGACCCTCCAGGGGCTCCACGCGGTGGTGCTGACCCTCCTTCGCCCAGAACATTAGCTCAGAAGACTGTCTGGTAACTACTCCTCTCCCACATCAAAGGGATGAATAGAAGACAAATCCAGAGAGACTTTAAATGCCCATGGAAAAGAAAGTATTTGGAGGGGGGGTACTCTGCTTCATCTAACAGACTTATTTTATCTAGTTTTTTTAAATTGAAAATAGATTTTAAATATATATTTTGATCATGGTTTTCCTTCCCCTAGATAGTCTCTAGGGGAAAGAAACCAAAACAAATGAAAACAAAAACAAAAACAAACCACCTCATAGTATCTAAGTTGGAAATATCATTGTTGTCAAAATAGAAAAAAAAATCAAAATCCAAGACACCAAAAAGACAGTGACAGTCAATAGTCATTGTCAAGATGGCAGGCCCTGGGCGTGCTTCTAGTTTGTGTGAGGTGAGGTGAGAGGCACCCCACTGAATGCCAGTGACATCCACAGTCTGACCAGAAAGGGGAAGGCCGATGGTGCCCAGCATTCTCCACCCTGCTTCCTGACTGCACACCCAGTGTGGTCTCTTGCACTCGCTGCCACGCCTTTCTTGCACCATAGGCTGTGCCCTCTGGAACCCTCCTGCATGCATTGCTTCTTATCAGGTACTGGGTCACAGCCACCAGAAAAGTGACGAGCACAGCAGGCATCCCTGTCGGCCATACTTGTAACTCCAGTGTGCACAGCGGCTCTTGACAAGGCTTGGCTGTGTTCTTCCCAGAGCTGGGAAAACAGAAGAGTGAGCAATGAGGCACCTGCAACCCCAGCACTTGCCAAGTGGAGCCAAGGATCACAAATCCAAGCCCAGTTCTATCTCCATAGTGAGTTCTAGGGGCCACCCTGAGGTTCAAGCAGGGGTACTGGGGAATGGGATCGAATTTAATCCAGAACAAACCGAAGAAATTAATAAAAATCAGCTTCTAAATCAATGAAAGAAAACAAAACCCTATTTTTAAATGTATTTTATAGTGTGCATAGGTGTGTTGCCTGCATGTGTGTATTTTATGTGCCTAGGTGTGTTGCCTGCATGCATGTCTGTGCACCACGGATACGTCTGGCACTCTTGGAGGTCAGAGAGGGTGGCAGATCCCAGGAGCAGATGATTGCCGTGTGTGCGCTGGGAATTAAACCTGGGTCCTCCTGAGCAGCAGGGCTCTTAACCTCTGAGCTGTCTCTCCAGTCCCAAACAATAAGTTTAATAAAACTAATGGCTCAGGGCTAGAAAGGAAGCTTAGTTGGGGGGCTGGTCTGCCCATCGAGGCCCATTGTTTCCAGCACAAGATGCCCTGTTTCCCACCTCCAGAGCCTGGAGGTGTCTACTTTAGGATTACCTGCATTCCTAGGAGGGCCCTTTACTCATAATCTTTCCCAGCACCAATCAGACCAGTTCAGATGTGTTTTCCCTACCACGCAGCATGCTGGGGCTGTCCAGGGTCCCCACAGAGGCTCAGAGGCACTGATTTCTCACACCAAGGGCTGTAGGGGGCCAGTCTAAATATAGACACCATGAAGCTGATATGGAAATCTGGAATAAACCAGCTAAACCAAGGCAGACAATGGGGGCTATAATGCAATATAAAACAGGATGTGTGGTGATAGTTTGTCTGTGCTCTAACGGATAAAGCTTGCCTGAAGATCAGAGGGTGACGCTAGCCACTAGCTAACTATAGAGGCCAGGCAGTGTGGTCCCAGCGCTTATGAGGTGGAGACAGAAATATGAGGTGGCTGAAGACAGGATCTCGGACCCATTCTGTCTGAGGATTCGTGGAGACAGGATCTTGCCTGTTCTTTCTGAGGATTCGGTAGACTTAGTAAGAAGTTTCTCTCATGACTGGCTCCTTTTCTTCTCTGATCTTTCAGCATTTATCCTGATATCTGATTCCGGGCTTTTATTATTAAGATGAATTAGGATACATCGGTGTCTAGAGAACCTCAGAGTAAACAATGATGTTCTGTTATATAACTATTTCTGACGGTGTGCCACCTTTGTGTGGTTGCAATGATAAAAACACTATGGCCAAATACAACTTGGGAAGGAGAGGGTTTATTTTATTTATAGCTTGTAGTCAGTTATCCAGGGAAGTCAGGGCAGGAACCTGTGGGCAGAAACTGATATGGTGCTCATGGAAGGTGTTTTATACTTGCTTTCTCCTCACAGCTTCCTCAGCCTGCCTGCTGATGACATCCGGGATACCCAGCCAGGGGTGGCCTTGCCCACGGTGAACTGAGCTCATCCACATCAATTTTCAATCAAGCGAATGCTTCAAGTTCATATAGTGCCTTACACCTTTGATCCCAGCACTTGGAAGGAGAGGCCGGCAGATCTCTGTGAGACTGAGGCCAGCCTGGTCTACATAGAGAATTCCAGGGCAGACAGGACTACATAGAGACCCGGTCTCAAAAAAAAAAAATGTAGCATAAAATAAACTAAAACAAAATAAAATTAAACTAAAAAGCTCCACAGGCTTCCCATAGACTAGTCTGGTAGAGAGATGGCTCAGAGGTTAAGACCCTGGCTCTTGGCTTGGCTGCTCTTCCAGAGGTCCTGAGTTCAATGCCAGAAACAACATGGTGACTCACAACCATCTAAAATAAAGTCTGGTACCCTCTTTCTGGCATGCAGACATATATGCAGGAAGAACACTGTATACATAATAAATAAATTTATACATGATAAATAACACCTTTTAAAAAGTTTTACCCATTCTACATAAAATAATTATTTTTAAAAAATTGCCAAGGTCCTGGTGTCTCTTCACAGCAATAGAACTAAGACTATGGTATAAATACGGCCTTCAGGTCAAAGGTCTGAGTCTAGAGCGTCCACCTTCCCCAGCGTGGCTCTGTGCCTCCTGCCGTGTGGCTTGTGTGCAGCCCGTGCCCCCCTGGCAGTTTCCCGACTTCAGGCTCCTGGTGTGGGAACGCAACCCTCACTTGGCAGGAAGGAAGACGGGACCGAGTGAGGATGGGGCCACGGAGAGTGGAATTCACTGTAATTGTCGAAGTTTTCTGTAATTTAATAAAACGGTTGATAACCATCCTTGACTACATATAGTGGTGTTGGATCCAGTCTGACCAAATCAGATCCTGTTAAACAAACAAACCCCCAACCACCACCACCAAAACAAAACAAACCAACAAACCAGCAAAATTTATTACAGTGAAAAAGGAAATGACTTTATTTCTGTAAGCATAGCACAAGGAAGCTTGACCTGAACAGCTGCAGGATAAACTGTTCAGTTGCTCAGACCTTCTTTATCTGTTTTCTATATTCCTCCCCAACAGAGGCAGCCCCAGAGCAAAAAATAATCCTGTCTCTCCTTTTTGGGTGGTGGGGGCTAGTGATGGAAGCCAGGGATCATTGTGCGCTAAGCACTGCTCAGCTCCTGAGCTCCACTGTAACCCACGCACCCTATTTCTTTTTGTCTTGACTCTGCTCTGACAGCTGAGGCTGTCTAATTCTCCCAAGGCCTTCCTTTTCCGTAGGAATGAAAGAAACAGTGGAAGGAAGGGAAAGAGAACCCGTGTCAAACAGAAGAAAGGTGTCCTGAGCCTTAGACAATGTCATCTAAGTGCACAGGGACCAGCTGGTAGGGGGGGTCGTTCTTCTTGGGGCGTTCACAGGCCACAATGAAGAATTTGTACTTCACTGCACTGCTGTAGCGACAGCTGGGGTAGGTTCCCCCCGTGAGCGCGCAGTCCGTCATGTTGACAGGCCCTGCGCTCTTGTGGCAGTTCTTTTGACCGTTCTTGCAGGTGATGTTGGGAGAGCCACAGGCGGCAGCCACGTTCCCGAAGGATTCATGCAGAAAGGTGTTTTTCGGCTTACAGTGCTGGGTGTAATTGTTGACACCATGCATCGCCATGTTGCACTGCTGAGGACTTGTCTGGATGTGCTGAATCTCAAACCAGCGGGCCTTGGTGAGACCCTTAGGCTGAGTGCTGCTGAGGAGGCACACGGGCTCCCACAGCCCCAGCAGCAACAGGAGAGAAAAGCTCCCGCGAAGATCTACCGCCATGCTTTTCTGTGCAGGAAGAAGAAAGTTTGTGGTAAGAGAAGAAACAGTAAGAGCAAACCTTTTCATCATGACTAGTTTGCTGTATTTTTCCCTTCCTTTTAAGATTTCATAACTCTTAAAAACGGAAGAAAACCAGTCTCATAATTCTATGAAAACTCTGAAACCCAATTTGGAAGACCGCAGACGCGCGTACATCCTAAGTGGCAGGCACATCTCATCCTTCTCTCTGGTCTGTGTTCATACACACAGTACTTCCTCCTGAAATCCCTCCTTACATGTTTACCTTCCCTCTGCAAGCAGCAATTTCCCAGCCAGCAGCCCTGCCTGGCAGGGCCGTGAAGCGTGAAGCGCCTCTCTTACCAGGTGGTTTTGCTGGGTTCCTCCTGAGAACACGGGCAGTTGATCAGTCCAAGGTTGTGAGCTTTTCTGCTTCAAGTCAGTCACAGCTGCAAAGGTGGGGCAGGGCAAGAAGGATTCTTAAGGCCATGAAAGAGGAACCTTAGATTTTGCAGAAGTCTGGTGGGGCTTGGGCTCCACCTCCAAGTAAGCACTTCAGAGTTTTGATGTCAGTGAAGAGGAAGAATAAAGTCAACTCAAGAAACAAGTCGGCTCAGAACTCAGTTTTCAGGACCTGATCACTTGCTAAGGGTTAGTACTTCCTTTTCGTCTGGAGCTCCACTGGTTTTGAAGCTCTTTGATTTCAGTTTCTCAACAAAAAATATACTTTGTATATTTGTATAATAGTTGCCATATACTTGGCAACATGAGTTCCTGCAACTACACATAAAAATCACTTGTTTGTATATATGTCTATAGGGCCAGATACTAGGTCACTCACGTGTAGGAGTTTACAGTCTAGTGAAAGACAGTCAGGTGAATAAGTAAGCTTGTATGAATCAAGAACCATGAATAGTACTCACAGTGGGACTCACACCGAAGGGAACAAGAGACACGCAACTGTCCAAGTTGAGCTGCGTTTTGAGGCATAATTAGTCAGGTGAACAGAGTGGCAAGGACTTTCACAGGCAGAATTGTGTGTGAGGAGACCCAAAAGCATGAAGAAGAGAAAGTGTAGGGCACTTGGATTTGAATCTCTTTCCTCTCACCCCTGGTGTGAACGACAGGATCGCTGCACCTCATCGTCTCAGGGAAGGCCTCCACTGGGACTCCCTGCCTCTGCCCTTACTTCTTTCTAATCAATTCTGCATTTCTCAGATAAGTGTACACTAGTACACTTTTATTCAGAGAAGTGGTTTTTGTTTGTTTGCTTTCAGATAGTGAAAGACCCCCAGTGAGGGGAGACTCTCACTCAGGTCTCAGGATAACATGACTCCCCCCAGTAACTCACGAGAGACCGTCCTTGCTGCAATCACACGAGGTTTATTGACAGGACAGGAACCAGTGCACTGGGGCCGAGACTCATAACCCACGCAGGGGAGGAGTTCGACCCCGAGTAACTGGGAGAAGGGGTTTTTAAGGGAAGAAACCACAGCCCAGTAATCCGAAGCGGGTAGGGAGGGCGTCATAGAAAATTCTGAAAATACCAGTGATGATCACAAGGGGGCAACTCCCTGTTTCTCAAGATTATTCTCACGATTATAATCAGCTAGTTCCTGAAACAGCGTATTCTAAAAATACTAATGATAATCACAAGGGGGTAACTCCCTGTTTCTCAAGATTATTCTCAAGATTACAATCTAACTTTATCTTCAGCTAGTTCCTGAAACTGAACCGGCTAATCCTAGATTTCTGATTCTTATCTCCCTGCTTAGATTTTTGGCTCTAGGGGGTGGGTCTGTATTTATCCAGGTCTTTCAATAGTGTCTGCTTGCCTGGGATTCAGCATCTTCCTGTTTCCTCCTCCTAAGTGCTGGGATGCAGGCATGTGTACCACTGTGCTCACTTTGACTGATAACCACAGAGAGGTGCGTTTATATGTGATTTAACTGCTATGGTTTGAGTGCTTCCCCATAGACCTGAGTGTCTGAACACTTCGGCCCCAGCCAGTGGGAGTGTTTGGGAGAGTTATGGAACCCTTAGGAGGTAGAGATTTGCTAGAGGAAGTGGGTCACTGCAAATGGGACTTGAGGTCTTATACACAGCTCTACTTCTTGTTGGCTCTACACTTCTTGACTGAAGAGTCCAAGAATAAGAATATAAAAACGCAGAAATAAGAATGTAGAAATAAAGAAATAAAAAGTTGTAAGTCTAGGAGAATGAGAACAGGCTGTCAGCAGCTTTCTCAGCAGCTTAAGGATTAACTATTAACACTATTAACAATGGGTTACTCTGCTTTACAACCCATAGCTCTGTCTGCAAGACTGAAGCAGCCTTCTGCAAACTGAGGGTCGCTCTGCAAACTCAGGGTTGCTCTGCAAACTCAGGGTCAGCTTTTAGATACCCCAACCCTGGCCACTCATGGCCAGAAATTGATGTGAGCTGAGTTAACTTTTAAATGATGGGATGTACCTGACTTTTGACTTTTTGGTTTTATGTTGTCCCATAGCCTTCCCTGCTACGTGAAACTGGCAGTGTCAGGAGAGGTGCAGAGCCTTGGTAAATTTTATGATTTTTTAAAAAAACGCTGTAAGATCCCCGGTGGCAGTAGGCAGCAGAAATGCTGTAGATCCCAAATGGTGTAGCAGCAGACAGTGGGCCCTGGGAGCAACCAGTCCCAGGCAGAGATGGCTGTCAGTCCCAGAGCCGTGGCCCGAGCGGTGGTGGCGGACCATGTGGCGGCAGGCAGCAAGCTCTGGGAGCAGTCAGTCCCAGGCAGAGACGGCTGCCGGTCCCCGAGCAATGGCTGGTCCCAGGCAGGGAGACACATGGCGGGCGGGCAGGAGACAGAGACATGGATAGACATGACATGCAGAGTGAGGTTGAATATTTATTCAGGAGGTTATGGAGGGGAAGGGAAAAGGGGAGAAGAGAGAGAGAGCGAGAGCGAGAGCGAGAGCGAGAGAGAGAGAGAGAGAGAGAGAGAGAGGAGAAGAGAAAGAGACAGAGAAGGGGGGAAGTGGAGAAGTGGGGAGAGAGGCAGAAGCAAAGCTGCCTCTCCTAGAGGAAGACGGAAAAGAAAGTGAGCTCAGGCCGGAAGCTGAAGATCAGCCTGCCTCAGCAGATGGGGGAGGGAGTGGGCGTGGCTTGTCTCTTAAAGAGACAGAACAACCATTACAGGAAGAGCTTCCCTTGGAGGGGTCTCACGAGCCTCTCCCCTATCTCTGACTGAAAGGTTATGGTCTTAGTCTTGTACAGTCCCTAGCAAGCAGCCACGGGTGTTTGTTGCGCCTGGAAGACAGCATTACCAGGCCATCACCATCGTCATCACCCAGCGGTTCCGTTCTTTCCTCCGCACTCTGCCTTGATGGTTTCTGAGCCCTGGAGAGGATGACACAGGCGGCCCTTCAGAGCTGAGCACCTGATAGCCACCTGTTCTTCGCACCTTGACCTACCATGAGTCCCCATTGATGCCATCAGATATGGTTTTGTCTTTCTCTCTACGATTCACTTTCTTTGTTCTGTGCGTTCAGTGTCACAACTGTAATGTAATATGAAATGACACAAATGGGAATTGTATTTTCTGGTTTTAGTTGGTCTTCTGTGTGCTTCTTCTATGTGGATGGGCATGCCTTTCCCCCTTGCTTTGGGAAATTCTTCTATGCATTATGGAAAGCATTTTCTACATCTTTGGTGTGAAAATCTTTCCCTTCTAGTCCCACGGTTCATGCTGCCCCAGACGTTCTGTGTGTTCATTCATACATGTCAGAAACAGTGTGGTTGTGGAGGCTCAGGCTGGTGGGACACACGGCAGAGGTGAGAACAGGAGGTCCATGAGGCCGGTCTGAACCACATTGTTGTTCTTTAAATATGTGGCCTTTAGTTTGACTATATGACCCAATTCTTTTACTCTGTCTTAAGTCTTAAGTCTTCCCTATTGAGCTGCTAAGAGTTTTGTTCTTCTTTTCTTAAATTGTTGCTGCCTTTTAAGCCACTGTGGTCCTCTCAGGAACTGCAACTCCCCTGCTCAGGTTGTGTTGCAAGAGCCAGCGGCAGGAAGGGACGTCTGCTCCCTCAGGCACCAATGCTTTCAAAGCCACAAGGGAATTTATCTAAATCTCTGTCCCTCTAAGCAATGCAAGTTTCAAAGGCTGAGGTGAAATCCTGCTCCTCAGAGAGGCTGAATAGCAAGCAAGCGCTCACCTCCTCTCCTTGGTCTCTTCAGAACCATCCTGCTTCTCCTCACCCCTCCTTAAAATCCATTCTCCACCTGACTCCTCCCTACCACTTTCCCCAGCGAGCTGCTGATGCAGCCTCCTGACTGCCGGTGAATTTTATTTAATCAAACACATCTTTGCATCATTTGCATCTGGAACAAATGTTTCAGAGCATAAACAGAAGTAACACACCTTAAAATAATATCCTACAACAGAGTTTCCTGTATCAAGCTCGTTCTATGGGGCAAAGAATTGAACACGCAGTAAAGGTAGAAGGTTCATCCTCAGATGACAGCTGCCTTTGGGATGGAAGAGGCCTGGAGCCGGGAGTCCTCTAGCTGGACTCTGAGTTGGGTGTTTCACAGGCTGCTTCCCCTAGGGGTCCTGTTTAGATACAGACCACATGCCTTCTCATCTCTCCTCACAAACATCTAGGAATAAGAAGCCATCATTGTAGGGAGCCTGCTCTCACCTTCCCTGTCTGCCTGAGGGGCTATGAGTTAGATTCCTTGCTAGGACAGAGTGAGAGGGTCATAAAGACGGGGAACTTCAAAGATGGCTGGCTCCTTCCTCACCCTGTGGATATGAGACAAAAGCCTGACGTGCTGAGACAGGCCTGAAAGACTTTCTCCCACCAGCAGAGCCCCACTGAGGGAGTTCCCCTGAGAGGGCTGGCTTGGACAGCTTACCCCAAAGTTGCATGCCCTTCAGCTACCTTGTCTTCATTCAAACTGACCAACTCCTAAACTAGGGAAGGAAAGGCCTCCCAGTCCCTCAAAAGCTGGATTTTCAGATTCCTAAACCTCCCTCTGTTTTGCCGTGGGTATCTCCCTCTATGTGCTTATTGTGTGCTTGCCCGAGTTTCCTTACCCTGAGAAAAGCATCTTCTCTGTTTGAAAATTCCACTGCTCTTACCTGTTGCTCCAGAGATTTTCCCCCTGCCTTTTCCTTCTTTAACTTTCAGAGAAAATGAACTTCATCAAGACAGTGACAGGCCTATGTTCCTCTGTCCCTCATCTCATCGAAGCTCTCTTTGATTTAGTATTTCATTTCATAATCATTTCCGTTTGGATTTTGCTCAATGCTTCTGTCTCTTTACTGAATTATATTGTGATATCCCAAATGTGACTTCTTTATGTCATTCAGATAATCTGTCTTTTCTTAAAATTCATTCGGGGAAAAGGAGCATGTCCTTGCAGAGGAGAGCCAGTCCTCAGTGAAGAGTCCAAGAATAAGAAAATAAAATGTAGATTCCAAAAATTAGAAAGTAGAAATAAAGAAAT